TATGTATAGGTCAAAATTTCTGATTTTTGAAAAGTGAAAGTTGATTTGTTATTTTTGAAATAGGGTAAAGATAAAGTAGTAAAACTGAAATTTTCCCTTATGGAATTGAATTGGCCCAAATAATTTTCAACTTTTCTAATATTCAGCCCATGCCCAAAGCCCAGACCCAGCTCTTAATTCTTACATGTCTCTTTATAGAGATTGGGAACTAAATTTTTTCTCATTAAGAAAGCCTGTTTCTTTTTCTTGGTACTCATTTTCATTTGTTGGTGTTTGTCCCATTATTGTGAACATTAATAAATGGAAAGAAATTAAAATACGTGGGAGGGAGTTAATTTTCCTCATATGCATCCCCACACATCTAAACCTCTACTTTTTGTCATGGAATAAACTCTACTTTTGTTTAATCATAGAAGCGCGATTGAATCGAATTGGACCGATCATAATTATAATTGAAAATGTTGATTGCATTTACGTGATTCTTGATTTGATTTGATGCTCTTCAAAATCGGATCAAACGAACCATGCTCATTTCTACCCACGTGATATGTGACCAGTTAAAGTTCATATATAGTGGAGAAAAGTTTCATAAACTAAGTTCATTTTTATGTAAATGATTAAAGCAGTGGAGTTGGCTGGAACATTATTCCTCGAGATCTGTGGAATAACTGGACTTTTTATATGCATGAGATTACGCCGAAAACTACTGGCTCCACACATTTAATTTAAGTTCAAACTGGGATTACAATGATTCGTTCCGAATTGTTTTTAGTGCGACAATCAAATGAATTCTTTTTCATCAAACTGGGATTACAATGATTCGTTCCGAATTGTTTTTAGTGCGACAATCAAATGAATTCTTTTTCAAACTTGGAAAAGCAAGAAACTTTAGACTAAATCAATCAATAAACAGCCCACTGCCATTGTTGTCACCGCCCTTAACCCTCTATATATACATGCCTCTATATATCCCCACAACTACCTAACAAAAACTGTCATTTTCTTGTTTGGTATATTTATTCCTATATAAAAGTTACAAGTCTAAAATTAGTTGACAATTTATGCTCTAATTAATAGTAATCAAGCATGAAAAATTAACACAATCCCACATTTTCAACAAAGGAATATGATTTTCGTTCGTAGGAAAGATGAAAATTTTAACTATGAAAAATTACATGTACATGGCAATTTTGCCTTGTTCAAAATAGATTATTAAACAACATATTCTATTATTTGAAAGGGTAATGCTACATGTACACACACACTTTTACACAATCTTTTACACCTCTCTCACATGGAGGGGGGGTCCACGATTATTTTATTATGTGTGGGTCCCCCTCCATGTGAGGTGGGTGTAAAAACTTGTGTAAAA